TTGAGCCGGGGGGGGCTGCGGTAGGACAGGGGCTGGCTGGACTGGGGCAGGCATGGGGGGGCGCACGACGGGAAGGGCTGGCTGGATTGAGGGGGGCACAGGGGGCCGGCCGGGAAGAGCTGGCAGGATTTGGGGAGCCGGGGGGGGCTGCGGTACGAGAAGGGCTGGCTGGACTGCAGGACGCACGGGAAGCTGAAGGAGGTGAAGGGCTGGCTGGACTGCAGGATACTGGGAGGGAAGGGCTGCCCGGACTGGAGGATACTGGGGGGAAAGGGGTAGCTGGACTGGTGGTTACTGGGAGGAAAAGGCTGGCCGGACTGGAAGAGGGAGCGGGAAAAGGGGAGGCCAGACTGGGGGGCACTGGGGGGAATGGGCTGGCTGGACTGGAAGATACTGGGAGGAAAAGGCTGGCTGGACTGGAGGATACTGGTGGGGAAGGGCTGGCCGGACTGGGGGGCACTGGGAGGGTACGGGCGGCTGGACTGGGGGATGCCCGCGCTGGGGTAGAAGAGCTCGCTGGGCTGGGGGGTGCCGGGGGGGCTGCACTAGGGATGGGTGGGATGCAGAAAGAGTCGGGGGGCTGCAGGAAGGGGCTGCCAGAAGCATCAGGAGGACGCAGGGAGGATGGGGGGGCTGCGGGAAGCGTCAGGAGGGCGCGGCAAGGCTCGGGGGGCTGCGCTGAGCAGCTCCGGGGGGCTCCGGGACCCGCCGCCCCCCCGCCCCGCGCATGCGCCGCGCACTCACCGCGCCGGGGCTCCGCCGCGCCGGCCCCGCCCCCTTGCTCCCCGCCTATTGGTCAGACCGCCGGCGCAGCTCGCTGGTGATTGGTTGATCCTGCTGCCACTCACATCGGGCGGGACTTGGCCTTAAAGGGGCCGCGTGGGAGCGTGGCGCAGAGTTAATTACGCGGGGTTAATTAGCGGGTGCTGGTTCCGCGGGGGTCATCGCGTGGTGCCCATCGCCTCTTGTTCATTGCCCAGTGCCCATTGCCCGGTGTTAATTACTTGCCCAATGCCCATTGCCCGGTGTTAATTAATTGCCCCGTGCCCAATGCCCGGTGTTAATTAACTGCCCCGTGCTAATTGCCCGGCGGTGTTCAGTCATTTTCCTCCACCGGACAGGACGGAGCAGCGCCCTGGCTCCCGTGGCCTCTGGGCAGCGCCGTCCAGCTGTTCCCAGCTGTGTGTGAGGCTGCCGGGGCTGAGCCCGGGCCAAACTCATGGCACCGCTGCCCTCTGCCCGGGGCTGGACGGGCCCGTGGCACTCTGCCAGCCCCGGCTCTGCCACCTCCCCCCATCCCGGGACACCGCAGCCTCCCTGACCCCCGGGGGATGGTGGTGGTGACGGTGGAGCATCCTCGGAGCCGAGGGGATGGAGGGGAATGGAGGGAGAGCAGCCCTGATCCCAGTGGGATGGGGAGGGAAGGGAGAGCAGCCCTGACCCAACGGGATGGAGAGGGAAGGGAGAGGAGCCCTGAACACGATGGGATGGGGAGGATGGAGGGAGAACAGCCCTGACCCCGACGGGATGGAGAGGGAGGGAGGGAGAGCAGCCCTGACTCCCACGGGATGGAGCGGGGTTGAAGGGAGACCCTGAGCCAGATGCTGGTGGTGCCCCTGGAGCAGCCCTGACCCCAGTGGGATGAAGGAAGAGCAGCCCTGACCACGATGGGGTGGAGGGGGATGAAGGGAGAGCAGCCTGGAGCTGGCTGTGATGAAGGGACACCCGAGCCGGGGGCTGGTGCTGCCACCAGAGCCCCCTGACCCCGATGGCATGGCGGGGGGACAAAGGGACACACCGAGCTGGGTGCTGGTGGTGCCAGCGGCCCTGGCATGCTCTGGACACTTTATTCCTCCTGCCCCGAGCCCTCCCGGCAGCTCTGGGAGCAAAACACCGAGCAGAAGGCGCGCGGTCCCGGCTCCCCGCGGTGTCCCGGCCGTGCCCACGACCGAGGCTCCCGGTGTCCCGGCCGTGGCTGTGACCGTGCCCGAGGCTCCCGGTGTCCTCCCGTCGCTCCGTGCCCTCACTGGCAGCCCCGCAGGACCCCCAGTGCCTCCCTCACGGCGGCGAAGATCATCCCGTCCAGCTGCGAGGAAGCAAAGAGGGGGCTCAGCACCGCTCACCCCACCTCGGCACCCCCAAATTTCCCCCGGAGCGCCCCCAAATTTCCCCCGGGGCACGCACCTGGGCGCGCAGCTGGCGCGGGGTCCCGGCGGGGCCGGTGCCGAGGTGCCGGAGGCGCACGGCGCTCTCCGGGGACAGGAATTGCTGCTCCACGCTGATGGTGCCGCCGAGGCTCTGCACCTGCCCGGCCGCATCAGCGTTTGCCGTGCCTCAGTTTCCCCGGGGGGGGTGGGGTTTGGCACAGCCTCTCGGGGAGGGGTTCGGGGCCGCCTACCTGGTGGGGAGCCCCGGCGGGGACCAGCACGGCGTCCCCCGGGAGCTGCAGGAGGCTCCAGCCGCTCACGCCGCACTCGTCCCGCAGCCGCCGCCGCAGGCCGGGGTCCAGGTAGCGGCCGGGGGGCTCCGCCGGGGCCGCCCCCTCCCACCCCGGCTCCTGCTCCGCCTGTGGGGTGCCAGGGTGAGCGGAGCCGGGGCCGCAGCGGGCACGGGGCGGGTGGCACCCACCTTGAGCAGGAATTCGCGGATCCGCGCGGCGTCCTCGGCGCGGTAGATGTGCCACAGGGCGCCGGGCCGCCCGCCCTGCCCGAGCCGCGCCCGCAGCGGCGCCTCCAGCTCCTCCGCGTCCGCTGGCAGCGGCAGCTCTGCGGGCACACGGGGCTCAGGGGGGTCCCAGGGGACGGGGGTGGGAGTGGGGGGACCCGCGCCGCGCCCCGTACCCCGCGGTGCCGGCGCTGCGTGCGCCAGGACGCTGATGGAATCGGCCGCTTCCACCGTCAGGGCTTTGGTCCCGAAGTTCCGCTGCTGCGAACGCGCGCCTGGAAGGGATTTGGGGGATTGGTGCGGGAGGGGCGAGACCGACTGCCCCCCAAAGCCCGGGAACCCCCAAAGCCCGGGAACCCCTAAAGCCACAGAGCGCCCCAAAACCCCAGTGCCCCCCCAAAGCCTGGCTGTCCACAAAGCCCCGGTGCCTCCCAAAGCCCGGGAACCCCCAAAGCTCCGGTGCCCCCCAAAGCCCGGGAACCCCCAAAGCCCCGATACCTCTCAAAGCCCCAGAGCCCCCCAAAGCCCCGGAACACCCCCAAAGCCCGGCTGCTCCCCAAAGGCCGGGTGCCCCCCAAAAGCCCGGCTGTCCCAAAGCCCCGGTGCCTCCCAAAACCCTGGAGTCCCTCAAAGCCACAGAGCGCCCCAAAACCCCAGTGCCCCCCCAAAGCCTGGCTGTCCCCAAAGCTCCGGTGCCCCCCAAAACCCGGGTGCCTCCCAAAGCCCGGGAAGCCCCAAGGCCCGGCTGCCCCCCCAAAGCCCCGGTACCCCACAAAGCCCCTATGCCTCTCAAAGCCCCGGTGCCCCCCAAACCCCTGTGACCCCCAAAGCCCTGAAGCCCCCTAAAGCCCTGGTGTCCCCCAGAGCCCCGGTACCGCTCTCACCGTAGGCCACGCAGACGCGCGGGCGGAGCCAGCGCCGGCCCCGCTGGCCCCGCAGGTAGCTGGCCAGGTTGAGGCGGCCGCTGGCCCCGCAGTACTCGGGCAGGGGCAGGCTGGCCTGCAGGTTGGTGGCCCTGTGGCACGGGGGGTGGTGGTGGCACTCAGGACCTCCCCCCCAACCCCACTGAGCCCCGCTGGCCAAGCCAGCTGGCGTGGGGAGGGGACGTCGGGGTGATGCCACCCTGAGCTGTCACCTACCGGCTCAGCTCCGTGTCCCCAAGGCCGCGCTCCAGCTTCAGCAGGTCCCCGCTGCTCTGCTCCTGCTCGGGGGATGCTGTGGAGGGAGCCACAATAGGGATGGAGCATGGCTCCTCTCACACCTCACCCTAAAATCACACCGGGGACCCCACATACTCCTCGTCCCCTCACCTGTGCTGGCGGCAAAGCCATCCCAAAACTGCCGCCTGCTCATCCGGACTCGGCTCCGCGGTGCCCGCAGGTTCACCGCCTCCACCTCCTCCTCCTCCTGCCCCGGGGGCTGGAAGGATTCGGGCGCCCACAGCCGCGGCTCCAGCCTCTTCTGCAGCCCTGAAACCAGCACAGGCTGCCGGGGCAGCCGGGGCTCAGTGGGGAAGCTGGGGGGCTCCGAGGTGTCATCCCACACGCAGGGAGGGGGGGCTCCTGGTGTCACCCCACACCCAGGAATGGGGGCTCACCTGGCCCTGCCTCCAGTGCTCCTGGAACAGTTTGTAGTTGCTGGCGTGGCCGGGGTCGTGCAGCCAGAGCAGCCCGCTGGGGGCCAGGATGCAGTGGGATGCGGGGGGGTCCGGGGAGCCGGGGGGGCTCAGCTCGGCCCCTACCTGCCTCTCCTGGATCTTCTTCTCCACCACGCGGGCGATGATGCTGTCCAGGATGCTGGTCAGGCGATTGTCCTGGGGGGGACGCGATTGGGGAGACCCTCAGCGCACGCGGACCCCACCCCAGCCCCGTCAGAGCGGGGTGGGGAGCAGGGAATGGGGTGGGGAGCAGGGAATGGGGTGGGCAGCAGGGAATGGGATGGGCAGAAGGGCACCGGGTGGCCCGAGGGTCGCGGGACTCACGCTGGGCAGCGCCGGTGCCACGGGGGCGAAGGCCATGCGCACCCCGTCCTGCCCCAGGCACAGCTTCACGGCGGTGGAGGCCAGCAGGTCGCAGAGGGTCGTGCTCTGCACGCCCCCCACCCGCGCCGGGGGCTGCCCCGGGGACGGCGGGCCCCCCTCGGGGCTCTCTGCTCGGGGGACAACACGGTCAGGGTTGCCCACGCCGTCCTCTGCACGTCACCCCCTACCCGGCACCCCAAAAGGAGACGGGGTGCGGCATCCCTGACCCCCCCGGAGCGCGGCCGTGCCCGCGGCGGGGGGGTCGCAGCCGGCCCTACCTTCCTTGATGGGCCGGGCGGGGTCTGCGGGGCCGTGGCTGCGGGGGGGCAGGGTGGGCACCGCGGCCCCCGGCGGCTCCTGAAACACCCGCGGCAGTGGGGATCCAGGTGGGAGCCACATCCCATGCCCTGTGCGGGGCTGGGGCGCACCCGCACCCCCTTTTCCCCAGCATCCAGAGCCCCCCCGTACCTGCCTGCCCGGGGGCTCCGCCAGGCTCGGCTCCGCGGCCCCCGCCCCGCAGGGACAGTGCGACTCGATGCCAAACTTGACCCTGACCTGGTGCAGGAGCTTCCAGAGCCGGGTCAGGACTGCGGGCGGATGGGGACAGGGGTGTCAACCCCCCAGCAGCGGCCAAAGGAGGTTTTTGGGGCTGGGGGACGCACTCACCACAGGTGGGGACGAACTGCGTGGGGACCAGCGATGACACGTGGTGGTCCCGCCCGGGGGCGCACTCCGGTGGCATCGCCGGACCCTCTGTGTCAGAGAGGGGCTGCGTTTGTCCCCACGGAGCCCCCCACGGCTGACACCCCCTCTTTCCACCCCTCCCCGTCCCCATACCAGGGCCACTCTCCTCCCGCCGGCTGCGGTGGCACTCGGGGCACAGCTGGAAGCCACATCTGGCGCAGCTCCAGTGGGAGTTGAAGAAGCCACGCTGGCAGGCGTCACAGAGCTGGGGGGCTCCTTCCCCCCGCCTCCAGCCCGTCACCCCTGCTGGAAACAGAGCCTCAGGCTCCCCGCGTCCCCATGTCCCCAGCGTCACCCCCACCCTGCTCCCTGCTCACCCTCGGGCCCGCCGGGGGCTCCCGGCCACGTGTCCCTGTCCCTGCGGACGGCGGCGCAGAAAGGGTCCCCCAGGACCCCCAGCAGGTACTTGGCCAGGCAGAGGCTGCTCCCCACGCTCCTGCTCCCCACATTCCTGCTCCCCACGTTCCTGACCCCCGGATCGGGGCCGGCCGCTTCCCCCTCGGCCTCCCCCAGGGTGCAGAGGCCATCGACGCTCAGCTCGCCGCTGTCCCCCAGGGCGAACCTGCAGGGAGAGGGGACAGAGTTGGGGTGCTCAAAATGGGGTGATGAGACACGAGGTGAAAACTTGGGGTGGTGGGAGAGGAGAAAAAAGGAGAAAAGGACAGGACAAGTAAGTGGGGGCAGGGGAGGGGATTCTCTAAAGTGGGGTGACAGGAGAGGATTCTCCAAAGCAGGGTGACAGAGAGGGTGTCCCAAAGAGGGGTGACAGGAGAGGGTGTCCCAAAGCAGGGTGACAGGAGAAGATGCTCCAAAGTGGGGTGAAGGGAGGGGATGCTCTAGAGTTGGGTGACAGGAAGGAAATACCCTGAACCGGGTTGATTGAAGAGAATATTCCAAAGTGGGGTGATCAAAAGCGATATTCCAAACAAGGGGCTGCTCCACTGCCCCCTGGCACGTCCTGCTGGACGCCCCCACCCCTGAGCTCACCCCGGGCTCACCTGCGGAAGTGCAGCAGCCTGCAGGTGCTCTCGGGGGGCTCCTCCTCCTCATCCTCGCCCTCGGGGTCCCCCCCGGCGCGGGGGGCACAGGCACAGCAGCGGGGGATGCTGGGGGGCAGCGCCGTGCAGGGCAGGCTCTGCAGGCACCACGGCTCCCCCGCACGGCTCGGCGGCTCTGGGGACACGGGAAGCGCTTGGGGACACCGTGGAGCCCCGTCCACAGCAGCTGGGAGGGACTGGAAGTGCCCAAGGACAGCTTGGACGGGGCTTGGAGCAGCCTGGGGTGGTGGAAGGTGTCCCTGGGCATGGCAAGGGGCAGGGACTGGATGGGTTTTAATGTCCTTTTTATGGTTCCTTCCAACCCAAAGCATTCCAGGATCCTGTGACTGGCACGCTGTGGCGGGGGCTGGAAACTGGGCCAGAAAGTAGGGCTGGAAAGTAGGGCTGGAGCTGCTCAGAGGTCAGGCCTGGGATGCCAACACCTCCCCGAGGAGCCACTGCCTCAACCACAGCGCTCCCAACCCCCGGGAATCCCACCCGAGGGTGTCACGCTGCCCCAAAGGGACATTTCGATCCGTGCCCACCCCGGGAATCGCTGCCAGACCCGGTCACGCCGGGAAAAACCCCAGCGCAGCAGGTTCCTCAGCCCACACGTGTTCCCAGCTCGTGTTGTGGGCGCCGGGAACCGGGATGCAAAATTCCCTCGGGATCGGCTGCTGCCCCCGCCCTCTCCCAGGCCCCGCTGCGCATCCTGTGCATCCTCACCTTCCTCTCCCAGCTCCATCCTCCTCTCCTCGGCGTCCCCCGCGCTCTCCGGGCCCGCGGTGGCCTTGGTGCCCCTTTTGGCCGCCCCGGCGCCCTCGCCGGCGGGGCGGGGACCATCGGCGGTGCCGTGGGGGCGTTTGGCCGAGCGCTTGCCCTCCCCGGGGGGCTCGGGACCCCCGTCCCGCCGGGAAGCTTTGGAGCGAGGCAGCGACTGCTCCGAGTGCCGCGTCAGCCACGTCTTCTTCAGCTTGGTGTGGTTGCTGGGGGGGCACGGAAAACGCCCCCCGGCCATGCCCAGGCTGGGCTCGAAGGGGTTGGGCACCCCGCAGCCCACCCCCGGGCACCCATCGCAGCCCGGGGTGGGGCAGAGACAGCCCGGGGGGGCTTCGGGCTTGGCCGGAGCCGCTGGGTAGTGCCCGTCCGCCGGCAGAGGCGAGGGATGGGGATCCCCGCATGCCGGGGGCGAGCCGGGCTGGGCGCTTCGGTAGCCCAGGCGCTCATCTTTGGGCTCCGAGGGCCGGCCCGGCCCCGCGTCCATGGAAAAATCGGCGCCGTGGGGCCGTGCGCCCACCCAGGGCCCCCCGCAGCCCCCCGAGCCGGGCTGCAGGAGGAACAGGGGGCGGCTGGCGCCGGGGGGAGGCGTGCGGGGATGGGGAACGGGCACCGCCGAGCTGCCCCCCGCCCGGCCATCCCTCCACGGGGCTCCCGGCAGCTCCGGCACCGCCGGCTCCCCCTCCCCGTCTCTGTCGTGCCCTGCTTGGCCCTTGCCCAGCAGCTGCGGCGCCGCGTGGTTCTTGGTCGAGGGGTGGAACCCGGGTCCTTTCTTGACGTAAAACTCCTGGAAGGGAGCAGAGGTGCGGTGTCACCCCAGCTGGGGGTCCCCGTCCCGCTTCTGTCACCCACATCCCTGCGAGGGGGTGAAGGGGAGCGTTCCGTTCCCCTGCCTCAGTTTCCCCACAGCCCTCCCAGGCTGGGCAGCCGCCCGGTGCCTCCCGGTGCCCGGGGCTGGGTCCTGGGGTGCCCGTGTCCCCCGCTGCCAGCGTGGGAAAGGAATGGGGAGCCGCAGCGGCACGGGGTGCGACGGGCGCGCCCAGGGCTGGCAGCGCTGCCTCCCTCCGCCCCCGTGCCGCGGCTCCGCCGCCGTGACTCAGCCCGGGGGTGGCATCACCCGCGGGGACACCGCGGAGCGCAGCGTCACCCCGGCGGCGCTCGGGGGGCCGGGACCCCCCTGCCGAGTTGCGGGGGGAGCAGAGGGCTGTGCCCCCTCTGGGGGTGCTGCCAGGCCCCGCCCGGGCGCGGGTGCCAGCATCGCCTCTCCCAGCCGGGTTCAGGCGGGGCTGGAGCCGCTGTCACCTCCGGGGAGCCCCGGGACCGCCGAGCATCATCGCTCCGGAGCCTCTCCGAGGTGTCCTACCTTGTTCCCTGAGCTGGAGCAGTCCTCGAAGGGGGCCGGAGCCGCCTTGCACCTCGGCGGGACCCCCAGGTAGAGGGGCTGTCCCCAGGCGGGCGCGTAGGAGCACAAACGCCAGTCCAGGCCGGCGAAGCGCCCGTCACCCCCCGGGCCCGGCCCCTCCGCCCCCGCGCCGCCGAACGGGGGCTCGGCCGGGGGTCCGCTGGGCAGCAGCGAGGACAGGAGGAAGGGGCTGTGCTTGGCCTCCACGAGGAAGGGGCAGTGGTGGAAGGCCGGGGGGTCTCCGGCCGCGTCCCCCGCGGCGCTGCGGGGCTTGCCGGCGGTGCCGGGGCGCGGCGTGTCCAGCCCGGGCACGGGCAGGGGGTAGCGGTGGTACGCGTGGCTGTAGAGGGCCAGCGGGGCCAGCACGGCCTCGGCCCAGCGCGGCCCCGGGTGCTCCTTGCAGGGTTCCCCCCAGCCCGCCTTGGGCTGCCCGTTCCGGGGGGGCAGCAGCGGGGGGAGCTCGGCTCCGTCCTTGGGGCGGCTCAGGGCGTCCCGCAGGCACGGCGGGGCCGGTGGGTAGGGACAGCCCAGGCGGCCACCGGCGAGCTCCCGGACGGGTCCCAGACATCCCTCGGAGCCCCTCCAGGGACATCCTTTCTCCATGGCGTAGCTCAGCTTGCCGGGCTCCGGGTAGCCCTGGAGTCCCAGCTCGGCAGCGGCGCTTCGGGATAAAAGCATCCCGCTGTTCTCCATCCCCCGGGAGTCCTGCGCTGCCTCCGGGGCTCTTCTCCACCGCGCCGGGGTCTCCCCCATCCTCGCGTCGCTGGCCATGCTGCTCCGACACTCATGTGGTGCTCAGCGCCGTCCCGGGCAGGCCGGATCCTGCGGGCAGGGAGAGGGACATCAGCGGGAAACAGCACCCACCCCTGCCCGGGCAGCGCTGCGGGGAAACTGAGGCACGGGGATGCTTGGGGGTGTTGCTGGGGGGCTGCCTTCAACCCCCCCGCTCCATCCTCCCGTGTTTGGTGGGAGCCTCCCGGGCACGGCTGGGGGGTCCCCGGCTCCCGTGCCCCGCGGCATCCGTCGGGATGCACGATCCGGGCGGACACGTGTCTGGGGCGGGTGTCGCCGTGCCATCCCGTCCCTCCTGCGCCCATCCCGGCGGGGCTGGCGGCCGGGACGCTCCTCGCGCCCACCAGTCCCTCCGCACCCAGGCTGGCCCCGCGCCCGGCCGCTGGCACCCAGCGTGGGGAGGCCGTGCCCCGCGCAGGTATTCGCCTCCGGCCAGGGCTGGGCTGCGCTTCCCAGGAGGGCTTCCAGCGAGGGGGGAGCTCCCCGCTCGCAGGGGCCCCTCCTGGGAGAAATGCCGGGGGGGATTTGCAGGATTAACCCTCCTCCGGGACCCGGGCCACACGCAGACGCGGGTGCGGAGCCAGACCTCGCAGCGCCGGCGGTCGCATCCCGTCCCCGTGTCCCCCAGCCCGCTGTGTCCTGCTGCTGGAGCGGCCGAGGGGGACAGAGCCGAGCTCAGCCAGCTCCCGGCCCTGCTGCGGGGTGGGACAGAGCCGCCCCGAGGGCCGGCATGGGACAGGAGCAGCGTGAGGACAGGAGCGCGTGTCCCCAAAGCCGCTTGTTCCTGTCATATCCTCCTCCCAGAGCCGGCAAAGTCCCCGTTCCCGGTGCTCGGGAAGCATTCCGGGACACCCTGTCCGAGCCGGGGCATCCTGGGGCACAAGGACACCCTGGGGACAGCCACCCCATCCATCCAGGGCCAGGCTGTCCTGCCCAGCCCCATCTCAGGAAGCTCTCCCAGCACAGCTCCCCAGTGCCCCGGAGCTGCGCCACCACCGCCATCCTCGCGGTCACCCCGAGGGTGACATTGCCCCAGGGTGACGCTGTCCCCTGTCCAGCCGGAGCACAGGAATCTGCTCCCGCTGCTCGGCGAGCATCCCCACCGCCCCCCAGCTACCTGGAGGGTCCATCAGGGACCCCAGCGCCGAGGACGAGCGGGGTGTCCGCCGGTGACACCGGCTCCCGGAGAGGCGAGGCCGGCCGGGCAGGGGCACCTAAACCCACAGGCTGAAGGGGTCCGGCTCCGGGATCTGGAGGAGGCAGAAAGCCGCCCGGGCGGCCCTGGGGATGTTCTTCTCCTCGTGCTGGAGCTGGAGTTTTTGATCCATTGGCTTGGGAGTCTCCGTGCTCCTCCTGCCTATCGTCCTACGAGCTGGGGGTCCCGGCGGGGCAGGGGTACCCAGGGAGCAGCGGCAGCACAGCGGGACCTTCCCCCGGCTCTAGGCAGCCCTGAGCATCCTGAGACAAGGAGGTGGCAGCGGCTCTGCTCCCCACCAGCGTGCAGCCTCCGCCGGCTCCGGCAGCGACTGGGCGGGCGGGAGGGATGCTGGGGCTGCTGACGCCCGGGAACCGGGAATCGGCGCGGTGCCGGCGGTGCCGCCCAGCCCCGGGGGCACCGGCGGCGGTGCCAAGGCGGGCAGGTGTGCTCTGCCCCGTGCGGGTGAAGAAAGCGCCCTTTGTTCGCCAAGGCCGCCCCGTCACCAATGAAAGGCTCCAGCCGCCCGCTCCGGGCGAAACTGGAACGGGACAAACACCGGGATGGGCCACGAGTCCCTGTCCCGGTGCTGGGGACAGGGCCAGCGCGGAGCAGGTGGCCATCCTACGGGATGGGAGTCCCCAGGACCCCAAACCCCCTCGGTTTTGGCCAAAGGTTACAGATCTGGCCCCGAGTGTGCTCCAGAGCCGTGTCCATCCCTCCTGCAGCTGCCTGGGTGCGGGCAGAGCTCCTCCTGCCCTGCAGACCCCTCAGCAGGCGGCTGCGGAGAGCAGGGTGTGCTCCGAGGGGTTCAGAGGGCCTTGGGGAGCACAGGAGTGCTGTGACACCATCCTGGTGGTGCCACCCTCACCAGGCATGCGGAGGGAGTGCCTGGGGCCTCTCGTCCCTGCCCTGCAGCCCAGCAGGGGCACACAAATCCCAGCCATGCCCACCAGGGTCACACAAATCCCAGCAGTGCCCACCAGGGTCACACAGATCCCAGTTGTGGTCACCAGGGTCACATAGATCCCAGCTGTGGTCACCAGGGTTACACAGATCCCACCAATACCCACTAGGATTACACCCATGCCAGCTGTGCCCACCAGGATCACAAAGATCCCAGCCATGCCCTGCAGCCCACCAGGCTCACACTCATCCCAGCTGTGTCCACCAGGGTCACACAGATCCCACCCAGCTGTGGCCACCAAGGTCACACAGATCCCACCCAGCTGTGCCCACCAGGGTCTCCCCCATCCCAGCCATGCCCTGCAGCCCACCAGGCTCACACTCATCCCAGCTGTGTCCACCAGGGGCACACAGATCCCACCCAGCTGTGCCCACCAGGGTCTCCCCCATCCCAGCCATGCCCTGCAGCCCACCAGGCTCACACTCATCCCAGCTGTGTCCACCAGGGGCACACAGATCCCACCCAGCTGTGCCCACCAGGGTCTCCCCCATCCCAGCCATGCCCTGCAGCCCACCAGGCTCACACTCATCCCAGCTGTGTCCACCAGGGGCACACAGATCCCACCCAGCTGTGCCCACCAGGGTCTCCCCCATCCCAGCCATGCCCTGCAGCCCACCAGGCTCACACTCATCCCAGCTGTGTCCACCAGGGGCACACAGATCCCACCCAGCTGTGCCCACCAGGGTCTCACCCATCCCAGCCATGCCCTGCAGCCCACCAAGCAAAAGCTGGGACCTTGTGGGTGCCCCCCACACTGTCCCCAAGCCCCAGGACCCCCAGCACGAGGACACCCCGGCCCCAAACCCAGCAGCACCCCCAGTGGGGAGTGAGGAGCAGATCCGGGGGGGGTGTCCCAGGTGGAACCCCCGTTCCTGGGCTCCCGGGGAGCTGGCACTGATGCCAGCAGTGCTGCGAGGGTTTATGTAACCTGCGTGTGTCCCCGGGCCGTGCCCGCCTTACATAAACCCATCCCTGGGCACCGCTGGCCCGGCACGGCTCGGCACGGCTCGGCAGCGGGGGCAGGCGGGCTGGGGGCACGGGAGAAGGGCTGAGGGCAGGCCAGGGCCCGCGGGAGCCACGGGCAGCTCCAGCCCAGCAGCTCCTCGCGGTCCGGTCCCGCTGGGAGCTGGCAGCGGGGGTTAACCCTTGCTGGGCACGGCTCGGGCCACCGGGGTCACTCGGCCGTGCCAGGCGGTGCCATCCCATAGCGGCACCCCCAGCCCTGCTGGCCCAGGAGGTCTGGGGGGTTTGGGGCGCTGCTGGCTGCACCCAGTGGGTGCCAGGGAACAGGGAGGGGACCCAGACAGGGCTCGGGGCGAGGGAGAGCCCGCGCCTGCCTGCGATGAGAAGGTGCTGAAAGACAAACTCTTCCCGTTCCCTCCCTCCCTTCCTCAGGAATGATGGATCCGGAAGGGCTGGGACGGGACTGGCAGCCCGGAGGGACCCCGGGGAAGGGTCTGCAGCGTCCCGGCGTGCCGGGGGGCTCTGGGGGTGCCCGGGGATGTCGGGAATGTAGCGAGGGAGGGGACAAGTGGGGAGGGGGATGGACGCACCACGCTGAAAACACCAGGGAGGGTTGGTCGGTGGCAGCCATTGCTGGGGCAACGAGCGGGGAGCAGGGGGATGATGGAGGGACAGCAGGGAATTTCCCACCATGCACCGGGGCAGCATCCCTGGGCACTGTCCCCTCCCCACGCCACGCTGCCCTCGGAGTGCCAGGGAGCCTTGCCAGGGCCAGTGCAGCCCCCACGGGGCAGCCACGCTGTGGGGCGCTCTGCGGGGCTCAGCCACTGCTCCCCAACCCCAGGAGCAGATCCGTGCCTGCTCCCACACCCCCAGCCCCTGCCCAGGTCCCTTCACTCCCTGCCCGTCCCAGCACGACCCCCAGAGGGTCCCCAGGGTGAACCGGGGGGGTCCAGGCTGGGTTTGAGCTCTGCCAGCTGGGAATAACCCCCGAGGGGGTTCTGTCCTGGTGGCTTGGCACAGAGCTCCAAAATCCTTGTTTTTCCCCCAAATCAGAGGTTGGTCGGTGGCAGCCATTGCTGGGGCAACGAGCGGGGAGCAGGGGGATGATGGAGGGACAGCAGGGAATTTCCCACCATGCACCGGGGCAGCATCCCTGGGCACTGTCCCCTCCCCACGCCACGCTGCCCTCGGAGTGCCAGGGAGCCTTGCCAGGGCCAGTGCAGCCCCCACGGGGCAGCCACGCTGTGGGGCGCTCTGCGGGGCTCAGCCACTGCTCCCCAACCCCAGGAGCAGATCCGTGCCTGCTCCCACACCCCCAGCCCCTGCCCAGGTCCCTTCACTCCCTGCCCGTCCCAGCACGACCCCCAGAGGGTCCCCAGGGTGAACCGGGGGGGTCCAGGCTGGGTTTGAGCTCTGCCAGCTGGGAATAACCCCCGAGGGGGTTCTGTCCTGGTGGCTTGGCGCAGAGCTCCAAAATCCTTGTTTTCCCCCCAAATCAGAGGGCGAGCAGAGGGACGGCAACACCCAGGAGCCGAGCGCTGGCCAGAGCACCACCGCAGGAGGCCGGGAACTCCCGAATTAGAGACCTCGGCATCCCTGCCCCGCTCCAGCACGGGGGGCACGCTGTGGGGACGTGGCGTGGAGGGACACTGGCCCCACGTCGTCCCCTGGCATCATGGGGGACGTGGGGCAGAGGGACACTGTCCCCACGGTGTCCCTGGGGATCATGGGGGACACTGTGGGGATGGGGGGAGAAGGACACTGTCCCCACAGCGTATCCTGGGATCGTGGGGGTTATTGTGGGGACGTGGGGCAGAGGGACACTGTCCCCACAGCGTATCCTGGGATCGTGGGGGGTATTGTGGGGACGTGAGTTGGAGGGACACTGTCCCCCATGGTGTCCCCTGGGATCATGGGGGACG